TGCATCAGATGATGCAAAAAAACAGACAAAAAAAGTACCTTACTCGACGTTTGAATTGCCTGCACCTTATATGTTTCCACTTTTTTAAAGCGTTGTTGAACAAGAAAAGGGTTTCATTATATCCAAATCAACATTTTATTTTTCAGCGAAAATGTGAAAGCATAGCCAGTTTCAGTGACTGAGGATCGAATCAAGTAGATAACATTTTACTGTTAATATTCCAAAAAATCGAATTTTCATTCACTGAATTCTAGGTTGATCCAATGGAAGATTTAGTTCTATTCTACAAAGATACTGCCTTCGATTGCATGTTCTCCTCAACACATGCTTACTTTATAAGTCTAATACAATGAACTTGTCATCACGAAACTCTAGATTTCACGAACATGAAAAAACTATTCGCTTTGCACAGCGTTTTTCAGGAAATTTGGCTAGAGAAAAACAGACTCGGGTGGGCAACTTTTTGCATCGTTGCCGAACAGATTTTAACACTTGCTGGGCTTCGCAGCCGGACACTCACCTGCGTTACTCGATAAAAAAAAATATGCTTATCTTGGTAATTTTCACACAAAACATGATAAGACACTTTAAAGTTGGAGAATACCTTTGTGAAGTGGTACACAGACACCGAACAGGCTCGTCTGTTGGTTGAGGCTGGTTGCCTTTCTCTTTGACAAACATCGGCTTTGGAAAAGATAAGAACTTTTGAAAAATTGTAGTCCAGTTGACTTTACAGTTGCCCATAGCTGCCTAAGCTTCAAAATAGTTTGATTGGGGAACTATCTAATACTCAAAAATTTCTGGCTACGCCATCGCAAAAGTACCAAATTTTTTTCAAGGCCCAAAATTGAAAAGTATCTTAGGTAGTACAACTTGATGTGCTCTATCACTGGTAGAAATATCAAAGTGATAGGTTGTTGCCACATAAAATACGGTTGATCAGCATTTCAATAAAAAATGTCATCTTGATTTTATTTCGAAACTCCTTAAAAATCGACAAAAACTCCTGAAAGTTTATGTGCAGAAGGACCAAAGGTCAATAGTTATAATAAGAAAAACGACAAGTCAAAAGTCTAACAAATTGAAATGCAAAAGTTATTTTATTAAAGAAAATCGATTAAAAATTTGTATTGAAAATTATGAAAAATTTCGTTCATATTTTGATTTTTGGTCTGGGAAAAGTAATCAGATCGAGCTGAAAACTTTACGGAATACTAAACTCACTACCTTCTACAACATATAAAAAAGTTACCGAATTCTGAGATATGACTCCATCGTCAATGTCATATAGTGACTGATTTTCTCAGACACTCACTCTTAAAGAGTTATACGGATCATCTCTAGATAGCTCTTGAAAAGTTATAAGAACCATTGATCCTACAGTCAAAGATTTTGGTCTGAGAATTTCCAGCTGTCACTTACCACTTACCTGGTAAGTACACTTACCGCCTACTGGTAAGTGGTAAGTGGTATCACTTACCTGTTACCTGGTAAGTGGCAAGCAGTACCACTTACCACTTACCAGTAATAGTAGTGGGAATATGACACCCCTAATTGGTGAGTGATGTTGGGCCCAAATGATGAAGTTTTACAAAAAAAATTTTTCACTCAAAGTTTGCGAAAAAAATTAGAATTTTCCCGGGCCCCCTTGGATTTTTTTGCTGTTAGTATTATCCTAGTTTTTAGAGTTTCAAAGGAAGCTACACCGAATTTCATCGATAGATTTCAAATTTCGTCTAAAAACATGCAGCCGTTCAAGAATTATAATGTTTTAAAATTGTGGAAAAATTGTTTCCACAAGTACCAAAATTTCAAAACGTTATAATTCTTGAACGGCTGCATATTTTTAGATGAAATTTGAAATCTATCGATGAAATTTGGTGTAGCTTCCTTTGAAGCTCTAAATACTAGGATAATACTAACAGCAAAAAAATCCAAGGAGACCCCACGAAAATGCTAATTTTTTTCGCAAACTCTGAGTGAAAAATTTTTTTCGTTAAACTTCATCATTTGGGCCCAACATCACCCGCTATGGCTTCCACTTGGTTGCCATGCTCGGAAGTCGAGATTCAGCACACTGAAAATTCCTGGCTACTGGCTTGCTGGTGTAGAACATAAAAAACGTAGATAACACTTGGGTTTAAGTCTAATGATCCGGTTTTGTGGGTCACAATTGACGCAAATGGTCTATGAATAAATTTTATCGGAATTCAATATCCTTCACTCGAATCGAATACAATGACAAATGATCGCGAAAATTTCTCAAAAACACATTAATTTTACAGTAGATCTATCAGAATACGGTCATTTTGAATGTTCCATTATTGTTATTCATCATATTCGCCTAGACTATCAAATTCTTCATCGATCGCACCTAATATTGCTTTCATGATGTATTCCCCATAATTAAATGGATATTCCTGACCATGTTGTTTACGAACCTTGTCTTTCTCTGTTAGGAAGTCATCCAAAAGATCGACATGGTCCATTTCTCGATCCCATTTGGATAAAAGCTTCACAGATGCTTCGCTATCATTACAGAGTAAGAACATAACATGAGTTGTTTCTGCATCTCTTTTATTCCACATAACATTCTCTAGAGTTGTTAAATCACTCATATCATCTGCATTGGTCGCCTCAGCATCGGTTGCTACGAAAACCAACATTTTTTTTTCTCTATTAGGTTGAGCGATATTTAATCCAAATATGTACTCTAAAGCTCTAGCTAAATTGGAATAACCTTCTGGAGGATGTTCTAGAACTTCATCGATTTCTCTTGGATCAATGACTTTAAGTAATGGCGGCCGATTAAGAAAATAGATGTCGACACCATTCTGATCGAATATTGTGCTAATTTCCAAAACGATCTTGACAATCTCTTTTAATTCATCCCAGCGGGTGCGTTTCGTATTATCCACCGTGAATTGCATCGAACCGGAATCATCAAGGAGGAGAACAATCTCGAAGCAGCGCAGACGAGTCAGTTTACGCACAACTTCCTGTCTTAAATTGAATTCTTGTGCCAACGCTCGCAAATAATCATCGACTATAATGCAAAAAGAAAGATTGGCGCTGAACTATACAATCGGCTACATGAATCTTTTCGAATCAGTGTTTTAAAATATTTTTGCAAGCTATTCTCTTTTTATGGGTAGGTTTTCATGATAATTCGGTCTTTTTTCTGCAAGCAGACCTAACTTACCTTCAGAGTTTCTAACAGGAGGATAAGTCTGTTGAACGATGTTTGGTCGAGGAATTGCGATCAATCGTGTATATACTAAAATCGAAAACAGAATAAAGCAACAGCCAACGAAGATTGAAAGTGTTTGAATAGAAATATATTGATGTGATCCAAGTTCCTTACCATTTTGTCGTTCTATTGACATCAATGTATGGAAATCGGTTGGATCAGTGTCTGAAACATAGATGATAAGTTTTCATTGAACTTCAATTATTATTGACGTACTATGAGTTTGTGAATGATCCGGGTCGGCTGTTATAGGTCGTCGTTCATGAGAATCCATATCGATGTCGTCTTACTTATTGTTATACTAGAAAAATTTTGTTATTGTTGAAAAATTTTATTATTAAAAACTGTCGAATTTCGACCAGGACTTCAAGTCATAGCACTAAGACATTAGTTCATCGATTGTTTACGAGAAGAAGAAACCAAATTTCAAATGATGAATGTTGAAAATCTTCTCTCTGGTAGTTCTTCTGAATAATTAAAGTATCGACTGAGTTTTTCCATATTTTAAGACACACATATTCGAATGAATGCTCTATATATGGAATTCTAGCTAGTTGATCAATCTCCTCTTTGTTCGCTACATTCATTCAGGGTTTCATTATATTCTCAGTTTTCTTTCTTGCTTTACAATAAAAATGACTGACCTGGGTGACAGAATTCTGTTGTAAGAATGAACTTCTGCTATTACAAATGAGCTTTTTTTGACTTTCAAATCAGTCATTTTCTTTCTCTTCTCTACTTCCTTTCTTTTTTTTTAAGTTGAGGTATTGCGAATGTTCGTGTGTACTTTAACAGTTGGACATTTCGAACGAATCATTCAGCGTTGGAAGAAAAATATGCGCTCTTCTGTTGTCTGAAAGAAAACAACATATAATGGAGGATGTTTGTTTTCTTTTACGACGAAGCACATGGTAGTGTTCGATCAAATTACAACAATAGACAGTGATGCAAAGAGTTGCAACTTTCAACTTCGATTTCGGAAATTGTTCATGGTGATTTTTGCGGTGGGTCAGGAATGTTGTATCCAAACTTTGATTTCTCGGTTTATCAATTTGTAATGAGACAAAGAAAGTTTTGCACAGATTTATCGTATACGATCAAATCATCATGCTCAAAACATAATGCGAACGTGTCAATAGATAAACGCTTCGAACGTCTTCTGCTAAATGCAACTGACTCTCTCCATGTGACGATTATCAGCAGATATTTCGCCCTTAGATAGATGACCATCGAACATCGAAACACGTCTTCCAACAACGACAGAATGGCTACAACAGTTTTGTCCTGAGAAACAGTCAGCATCGCTAGCACAACATTTGATATTAGGTCTTCCGCAAGCGTGTTCCTGAGCAATTCCACCACATAATTGATAGCATCTGAACTGTCGATAAACATGACATTGATCTATACGATGAATACTATCTATCATATGAATATGTGAATCTTTCACTAACCATTATCACGATCGACAGAAATTCTTATCAAATAATGCCATAAGAGTGCACATTGAACGATCAGTAACGTTAGTACGATAACCATCAAGCGTATCTTACTCGTTTCTAGGTTGCTCTCGACATGAAATGTAATATTCGAGAGTATGGATATGTAAAGTAGTTTTATCCACAGTTTTTGCTCAAGAATTATGCTTTTTTTCGAGACTTGCTTGAGGATGTAAGTAGGTATGGGTGACGGTGTGGGTGTGAGTGTGAGATGAAGGTACATACTCACACTCACACCACGCACCTATCCACATCCTTGAGTTCTATAGGATTCTTGAATGAATCGGTCAAATCAGTCGTTCAGGTGTGTCATAAATTGCCAATACGGTTTATGGAGCAGCCATCCTATTCCGCAATGTTGAACATTGCGAAACCGGTTCCGTTCCCGGAATCAATTCCGTCCGATTCCAGAAAGGCGATCCTCACACAGTATAAGAAGCCTACTCGACATGCATCGAGTTCTATCAATTCCGGAATTGAACTGAACTCCCAGAATTCCAGAATCGGTAGAAATTCTGTGCAATTTCGGCTTGACTGAATTCCCCGAATTCTGTACCGGAATTAGGTAGTGATCGAATCGAATATTCTTTAACCACGATAGCATGCGTGAGGGTGAAGGCGAGATATAATGTCGGTTAGGAATTTAGAAATTAGGTCAAATTCTCGGAATTGCTGAATTGCTGGGAATTCCCAGAAATTCTATCCAATTCCGAAATTAGGTCGAATTGAATTGTCGAAATTCCGGAATCGCTAGGAATTGGCAGAAATTCGGAGGAATTCCGTGCAATTTCGCCTGGACTTAATTCTTGGAATTCCGTAATCGGTAGGAATCGGTACGAGTTCCGTGCAATTCCGGAATCGGATTAAATTTCCGTAATTCCGGGAATTGACGAAACTCGATCAATGTCGAGTAAGCGGTTCACCTCGAATGGCGATGGAATTCCGAAAATTCGATGGAATTGATTTCAGGAGTGGAACTGGTTCCGCAATGTTCAACATCGCGGAATAGGATGTATTCTCAACTTTATATCAAAGAACACTTCAATCTAAATAAGTCCGAAACGAAAAAGCCATTTGATGTGTCAACCAGAGATCACGAAAAAGGTTGTTTGGATCAAACAACTCAAATATTTTTCTTGTTACAAACTTTTATTCGTTTTTCTTCGAGCAAAGGAAGTCAGAAATTCATTTCGAAAGGATACAGCTATCTGTTCTACGAAAACCTCGGCAGGATTGTTTGCGGGCATACGAAATTTTTTCGCTCGTACGAAGCAGGCCTCGAAATGGACCACCCGACCCGATCCGGTCCAGAGATATTTTTCTTCCTGACCGGGCGGGTCTAAAATTCTGTCGAGCCGCCCGTCCACATTTTATTTTTTTCATCATGGAAATTTCCAACGTAAGAAAAAAAATCTGATTTCAATCAATTTTCTCTGACTAAAAATCGATTAAAATGATGTTATTGTCATTGGATTAAGTGTAGATTAATTCATTTTCAATCGATTTTAATGCCATTCGGTGCGAAACATGTATTTCCCGCTTTTTAATTTATAAAGTCAACCTCAAGGGGGAAAAGCGGATTCTCTGCATCCGGAAATACGGTGGGGATTCAAAGGATCCGTACAATCCAGAGAATACGATGGGGATACGGCGGATACACAAGATATGTCAGAGATCCAGAGGATACATTGGGAATCCAAACGATCCAGAGTAGGGATACTCCTGTTCCAGTTAAGAAATGGAGATTGGATATCAATGAACTCATAGAACTTGCAGATGGAACGCTAATGAGATTTCCACACCAATCTTTGGAGATTTTCTTGGTTCCTCATTTGCCTATTCTAGGAGAGGTACTTGGATCTTCATCTGTCCATTCTAGCTAGGGATCGACAAGCTCAGTTAACGATCTCCGTTCAGATGAACTTAAAGAACTGTTCAGACAGTTCTTTGGAATGAACTGAACTTTTTCAACCGGTTCTTTTCAAATGAATTGAACTATTCAAACAGTTCAGCTCTATGAACTGATTCCATAGGTCCTCATCTCCTATTATATGGAGATACCCTTAGGTCCTGCAGTCTTATATTATGGGGGTATCCTTAGGTCCTCATCTCCTATATTATGAGGGTACCCTTAAGTCGTCAAGTCCTATACTATGAAGGTATCCTTGGGTCCTCATCTCCAATATTATGAAGGTATCCTTGGGTTCACATCTCCTATTATATGAGGGTACCCTTGGGTCCTCAAGTACCATATTATGGGGTACCCTCAGATCCTCATCTCCTATATTATAGGAGTACTCCTGGATCCTCAAGTGCTATTAGATGAGGGTACTATTAGGTCATCAACTCCTATATTATGGGGACACCCATAGATCTTCAACTCTTATTATATGGAGCTACCCTTAGGTCCTCAAGGCCTATTATAGAGATATGGATGTAACAATACCAATACCAATCAGTACCATTTGGTATCGGTATTGGTGTAAGGAGGACTGCTGGTCCTCACGTCAAACATCAATATGTTGAAAAACCGATGACGGATTCGGATTCCTTGACCCCGAAAACCCTTGATCAAACTTTATAAGAAAGTTGTTAGCGCAATCCCTTGCGGGATTAAAAATGTGAAACACGATGGCTCTATTGTTACTAATTAAATGGAAATCCTTTTGTTCCATTTCTTTGCGACACATTTGTAGCTAACCGTTTATCTGATGCTTTACAACTACAGTTTCTCTGCCACGGTCTGTGATGGGTACCAGGGTTCTCTGTCACGGTCTGTGATGGATACTGGGGTTCTCTGTCACGGTCTATGATGGATATCGGGGATTCTCTGTCACGGTCTGTGATGAATATGGGGATTCTCTGTCACGGTCTGTGATGGGTACCCAGGTTCTCTGTCACGGTCTGTGATGGGTAC